ATCCCCTGGACCTGGAGTTACAGACAGTTGTTAGCTGCCGTGTGGGTGCTGGGATTTGAACCCGGGTCTTCTGCAAGAACAACCAGTGTTCTTAACTGCTGAGCCATCTCTCCAGCCCCAGAAATTTATATTTATTTTTATTTTATGTGTGTGTGCCTCCTTGTCTGTGTGTGCATCACATGCATGCAAGTACCCACAGAGGCTAGAAGAGGGAGTCAGAGCCCCTGGAACTAGAATTTCAGGCAGTTGTGAGCCACCTGATGTTGGCGATAGGAACTGAACTCTGGAAGAGCAGTAAGTGTTCTTAATCGCTGAGCCATCTCTCTAGCCCCTAATAAAGATTTATCATGATAATATATATATAATATATAAATAACATGTATATATGTATAAACATAGAATTTCTCATTTTAACTGCATGTAAGCCAGCAATTCAGTGGCCAATAACCAATACCTACAATGCCATCACCATTGCCTACATCTAAAATCTCTTTATTATCCCCAACGGAAAGTCTTCCCTATTAAACAACTCCCTCTTTTCCTCCCTGCAAACCCCTGTTCTTTTTGTCTATGAATTTGCCAACTCATATAAGGAGAATCCTGCAATATTTGTCCCTGAGTCAAGCTTCTTTTTCCTAGGTCTACATTGCAGCTCATATAAGAACTTCTGTTTATGGCTGAGCAATAGCCCACTGAATGTAAAAGCCACATTTTATCCGTTTGTTTATAGATGGACAGTTGGGCGGCATCCACCCCTTGACTGCTGTGAATAGTGCTGCTGTGATGTGAGGGTGCAGACATCTAAGTCTCTGCTTTCAGTTTTTTTTCAGCATATACCCAGCAGTAGACTTGCTAGATCACGTGGTAGTACTATGTGTGACTTTTGGAGGACCTACCAAACTGTTTTCCACAATGGCTGAACTGTATTATGCTTGCTTCTTAATTTTAAAATTTTAATTTAGGGGCTGGAGAGATGGCTTAGCGGTTAAGAACACTGGTTGTTCTTGCAGAAGACCCAGGTTTGTATCCCAGAACCCACATGGAGGCTAACAACTGTCTGTAACTCCAGTCCCAGGGGATGCGACAGCCACTTCTGACCCCCGCGGGCATTGCGTGACATGGGCATGCTTACCTACATGTAGGCAATACACCATACACATAAAATAAAAATAATAAATTTTAAAAAATTAAATTTTAATTTATTTTAAAAATATTTTTCTTATTTTTATTTTATGTGTATGAGTGCATTGCCTGCATGTGTGTAAGTGCACCCATATTGTGCAATGCCCATAGAGGTCAGAAGATGATCCCCTGGAACTGGAGTTACGGACAGTCGTTAGTCTCTGTGTATGCTGGGAATTGAATCCATGTCCTCTGCAAGAGCAGCCAATGCTCTTAACTGCTGAGCCTTAAAGCCTAGTGCTCTTAAAGCCTAGGGAAATTTGAGTCATAAGATGGTGGAGTTCAGAGGGACGAGGTTGACCTGGGAGTCAAGACTTGAACTCTAGTGTTGGCCATGCTGTGGCCTGCTATGACCCTGTAGCAGTTTGCTTGGCTTCTCTGGTCTTCAAACAACTCCTGTATGAGGTGAAGGGTTTAGACCTGCCTGGGAGCAGCTAGGAATTCCTTGCTCATTTTCCCCCAGGTTGGCAGGCTGTTACCAGGCCCTGGATGGAGGCAACACAGCAGATGCACTAGTGGACTTTACAGGCGGTGTTTCTGAACCTATTGACTTGACTGAGGGGGACTTCGCCAATGATGAGGCCAAGAGGAACCAGCTCTTTGAACGTGTGCTGAAGGTGCACAGCAGAGGTGGCCTCATCAGTGCCTCCATCAAGGTAGGTGCTCAGAACAGGCCTCAGAGGCTGCCCTGACTGGGATGGAAGAGAGTGGGGATGAACCAGGCCCAGGCCAACCCATCATATTGACCCTTGGACTCATGGGGGACAGAGTAGTAGGAGAGCGCAGCCCCCTTTTCTGTGTGCTGGGCAGCAATATAAACCTTGTCCTAGCCCCCTGTGCCATGCAACACCCCCTACACTGTTCATGCCCTCCTTTAGACCCCCTTGGGCTCTTGTGTCTCTGCATCTGGTGTCCTTTGGTCAGGGAATGAGCTGTCAGAAGAGGCAGGGGGCTCCTGGGGCAGGTGGTCTGGAGTTGGTCCTCAATAGTCCTCTGCTTTCATTCCTTGCTCAGGTTTGGGGAGAAAGCTAGGCTTATTAAATGCAGGATCAGAACCCCATTTTGAGCTATCTATGATGCCTCATAAACTGGCTTTCTAGAAACACAGAAACCCCTGATTTGCCACATCTGCTGATTTCCATGGTATCAATACTTCTACCAGGGTCAAATTTCTATTACCTATGTTTTCACAACTACCTTTCAGAATTTCTGAATATTACTACCAGGCATACTGCTGCACACCTGCAAGCTCACCACTTGGGAGGCAGAGGCAGGAGGATTGCCCCAAGTTCAAGGCCAGCCTACATAATGAATTCCAGGACAGTCAGGGTTACATAGTGAGACTTGAAAAATCCTGAATATCTAGCAATCAATTGCACCTAGGCAGCTGGGCTCTAGCACAGCCTGGACTGGCCTCTGCAAGTGGTCCACTGGGGTTTGTAAATTTCTGTGCACACAGTCCTGTCCCCTTCCCAGCAGGTTTCTCTTTCTGTGAGGCTGCAGTTCTAGTCCCTCCCTGAAGGGGGTGGTATGACACCCTAGTCTGGGCTTCAGTGCTTTAGTCCCATCTGGGTTTGGATTCCAATGTGACCCTCCTGTCTGAACCTTTATGCTCCTATAGGCTGTGACAGCAGCTGACATGGAGGCCCGTCTGGCCTGTGGCCTGGTGAAGGGCCACGCATACGCTGTCACAGATGTGCGCAAGGTGCGACTGGGCCATGGCCTACTGGCCTTCTTCAAATCAGAGAAGCTGGATATGATCCGCCTGAGGAACCCCTGGGGCGAGCGGGAATGGAACGGGCCCTGGAGTGACACGTGAGGCCCAGGGTTGGGGGTGGGTACAGGCATGAGAGTTTGGGGAAGGACAAGAGGTGGCACTGTACTGGGCCTTGCAGGGTCTGGGAGACATAACCTAAGGGAAAGAAAGGACACTGCAGTGTGTGTGTATTCAGGGGAGGAGGGGTGGATTCAGCAAGGACAGTGGCCTGGAGGTGGGTGAGCTGACCTTCTGTAGAGCCATAGAGGTCAATGTGGTGAATCACAGTGGGTGGGAGAGCAAGAAGGGAGGCCACCTGCCCTCTGAATGGGCTGATCTTTGTGCTTAGCCCCAGGTCCCTAGGTAAGGACTGGGTCACAGCCCTTCATCCCAGTTTGCTTCCTGACCTAACTGTGGCATAAGGACAGCCCACATTTCCCAGTGGGAGGGAAAGAGACTTCTTGGGGCTGAGCTAGGCATGACCCCTGGTGTCTCTGCACTGAGGGTGGCCTGGCCCAGAACTGTCCCTTGGGCATGGTCCTGGTGGGCCCCTCCTCTTATACTCTTCCCTCCCTTGCACTTACATCCCAGCTCAGAGGAATGGCAGAAAGTCAGCAAGAGCGAGCGGGAGAAGATGGGTGTGACTGTGCAGGATGACGGCGAGTTCTGGTGAGTGTGCTTCTGTCCTGGATCTGGGCTAAGGAGGAGCTTCCTGGGGACCTGGCAGGGAGTACCTGGCAGAGAGTCAGGAGCCAGAGTTTAGCACAAGGCTCATCATTAGCTCACTGAGCCTATTTCCTCTTCTGTCAAACGAGTTGTGCAGTGATGGATCCTTTCACTCATAGTCTTCTCTGCATCCCTGAGGGGCCTGGGCTGTTCTAGCACCCAGGCTGATCCTTAGCAAGAAAGCCATGAGGCCATCAGGGAGTGACCTGAGTATATCCATCCCCAGTGTTCATCCCTGCATCTGTCCCCATTGTGTCCATCTTCTGTATCTATCCTCTGCACCCATGCCCCTGCATCCATCCATCCATCCATCCTGCATCTGTCCCTTGCATCTATTCTCTACATCTGTCCTCTGCCTCGGTCTCCCTACATCCATCCCCCTGCATCCACCCCCTTCATCTACCTCCCTATTCCATTCTCCTACATCTGTCCTATGTCTGTCCCCTACATCTGTCCCCACTGTGTCCACCCCCTGCATCTGTCTCCCTGTATCCATCCTCTGTGTCCATCCCCTAGTCATTTCCTGTATCTATCGCCTGTGTTCATCCATTCCTCGTAGTCATCTCTTGAATTGATTCCCTAAATCTATCCCACTGAATCCATTCCCTATCCATTCCCCTGTATGCATTCCCTGTACTTGTGCCCCCCCCGCCACCGTGTCCGTTCCCTGCATTTACTCATTCCTTTGCATCGTTCATTCCCCTGTATTTATCCCCTCTTCCATCCCCCTGTTCCTTGTTTATTCCCTTGTGTCCATTCATTGCCCTATATCCATTCTCCTATATGTATCCCTTGCACATTCATTCCCCTACATCCATCCCTCTGTATCCATCCCACCAGCATTCTGCCTGGACTCTTCTGGCTCAGTGCTATTCTGCACATCATACTTGATATAGAGACTCAGCCACTTGTGGGATGCAGAGGTACAAAGTTCCCCATGTGAGATAGATGCTGTGTAGACCCCCAGGCAAACCAGGATCAGATGGTAGTGATACCATCCTAACAAAAACCCTTCTGTTGGTATGTCCAGGAGGCCACCCAGGCCCTCCAGTTTGGGCTGCTGTGGACACAGCCCCCTGGTTCTGGTGTCAGTTGAATTCAGACATTAGCAAAATCCCTCCTCTGTGGAAAAAGCTGCTTTTTAAGGTCCTTTTCATTCACATTCATACTGTGCACTTGCCCTGGCCCTGCCCATGCTCCTGGGGATGTGCCTGGCATACAGTGACCATAGCAACAGCCTAGCCCTTGTCTCACACTTACCACGGGGGCTCTCCCACCAATTGATTCAGGCCTCACAGCAGCTGTGGAAGATAATAGGTGAAATAGGCTATATACATGATGTACACTCTAGGGCTGAGGAGATGGCTCTGTAGGTAAAAGCACTTTTCCTCAGTCTTGACAACCTGAAGTCAATCCCTAGGATCCACATGGTGGAAGGAGAGAACCGACTCCCACAAGCTGTCTCCTGACCTCCACATGTGCACTGTGGCACACATGTGCCCTCCCATCCCCACATACCCACATAATAAATGAATAAAAATTTTAAGACGTACACATTAGTTATTAATTCTGCAAACAGTTGTCACAGCCAGTGTACCAACTGCTCCATGTGCTGGAGATAGTGCTGGATGCTCTTATGGCATTACACAGTGAGGCCCAAGAGAGGTTACGGGTTTTAATGATGCCATTTCCAGTTTGCTCCTGTAAAACTGTGGTTCTGGATATGGGATGAGCAGGCAGGTGGGATGCACCCAGCTTAGCCCCTTCCTGTGCACAGGATGACCTTTGAGGACATGTGCCGGTACTTCACCGACATTATCAAGTGCCGCTTGATTAACACGTCCTACCTGAGCATCCACAAGACTTGGGAAGAGGCCCGGCTGCATGGTGCCTGGACACAGCATGAGGACCCAAGGCAGAACCGCAGCGGGGGCTGCATCAATCACAAGGACACCTTCTTCCAAAACCCACAGGTGGGCATTCCCAGGGCTCTGCCCTGCCCTGCCCCTGTAGCAAGTGTGGGGCCTTTCCACTGCCCTGCCACCCAGGGATGTTCCTGTCTGTCCTTTGGCCTCAGTATGCCTATCTGCAGTGGGGAACAGGTAGACACATCAGTCCTATCTGGGGCCATGAAGTCCCAGGCTTACATCTGCACTACATGTGGTCACAAGAAGATCTTGGCTCTCAGGGACTTAAGAATGTCTTATCCAGGGTCTCAGGCACATTGAGAGACTAATCTGGTGATTAGATTTCTTGTTTTCACAGCAGGAATTTCCCAGAGAATGTGGCCTGGATAGACTTCCCCACAGGGCCTCTCCAGCAGCTTCCTCAGTCACAGTTTATGACAGTTGCTTAGTCTTTAGGCCCAATGTGCCTTTATTGAGCCCCAGCTGTGTTCCAGGCTCTGAGATGATCACCAGTCATCTTATTGAGTGCTCCCAGGGCAGCCATTTTGTAGGCATTGGTACACTCGTCTGAGAGGAGGGACTGATTCATAGAGGTGATGGAGTGGCCCAAGCTCATGTCACCAACATGACTGGGACTTGGCTTTGGATTCCAGGCTCCTGGGAGTCAGGAGGCTGGCCTCTGCCATGGTCTCACCATGATCTCTTTCCTTGGCCACCCCTGTAGTACATCTTTGAGGTCAAGAAGCCGGAAGATGAAGTGCTGATCTGCATCCAGCAACGGCCCAAGCGCTCAACCCGCCAGGAGGGCAAGGGCGAGAACCTGGCCATTGGCTTTGACATCTACAAGGTGAGGCCAGCAGGGAGACCTGCTGCAGGTAAGGAGAGGGAGGGAGCCAGCATTCTGGTTCCTTTTCCTGAGGAAGATCCTCTAGAACACCTTGGTTGCTTATACCATTCCAACCTCCTTGGCCATATTGGCTGACACTGTGGAGATGCAGTACCATGGATCCTGTCAGAGACTCACAGAAGGCCCACCTACCTGGTGTTGGCTTCTGTAAGCACATCTTCCTGCCCAAGACCCTCAGGCCTAGGCCATTTGTAGTGAGAAGTACTCGCTTTTGGACTGGGCTCTCTGAGTCCTGGATACCTGATGGCCTCCACTGCCCCTCCCCCAAGGGTGGACGTCTCATCTCCTGCAGCCTCCTGTGTTGGAGGCTTTGCCAGGCACAGAGGTGGGCAACTTTGTATAGAGCCAGGCAGACTCACCTCTGACTACTACCCTTGGCCTAGAAACTGATATTCTCCACATGTATTCAATGTGTTGAGACAGTTGACATGACAGGTCCCCATGTACATATCCAATGAGAACTTGCTGAATTCATGTGGATGTGAGATGCTGCTTGATGCTGGGTCTCTGGCATTTAGTGGGCTTGGTTTTGACATGGTCACTTGCTCACACCATAGTATGTTTTCATGGCTTGCACTGATTTGACTATAGTACACATGCTTGTTTCAGGAATTGATTAGCATGTCCTGGCAGCTGGTGGTGTTATTTCATGGATTTGTGCTGTGACTTGGCTGGGTCATGATAAGTAGGTCCCCTTAATCTGTGAGTATAGGTTCTGAGACTCCCAGTAGGTAACCCAAATTGCACCCTATGCACCATGCCCATAACCAAGACAGCCAGAGTTAATGGGTGAGTTCAGATGACTCAGTGTCCCTGGGGTGCGGGAGGGGAAGTGAGATAGTGCAGGATTTCAGTACTGTTTCAGAGTAGTCTGAATTTTGTTTTGTTTTGTTTTGGGTTTTTGTTGTTGTTGTTCTTTTGGTTTTTCTGAGACAGGATCTTTCTGCAGCCCCAGCTGGCCTGGAACTCACTATGTAGACTAGGCTGGCCTTGAACGCACAGAGATCCACCAGCCTCTGGATTTAAGGCATGTGCCACCACGCCCGGCTGAAATTTAAAATTCACAAATTGTTTATGTCTGGAACTTTTCCTTTGCTATTTTCAGAGAATAGTTACTTCCAGTAACTGAAAGTACAAAAATGGAACTGTAGAGGGGTGTGACTACTGCGCTTGCTGACTTTGTGACAGAAATTCCAGGATCAGGCTGGGTGTGGTGACACATATCTGTAATCAGGAGTTCTAGGCCAGTCTCAACTACATGGAGAATTCAAGCCTGGGTTATGTGAGACCTTGTTTCCAAAAAACAAACCAAAAAGGGCCAGCAAGATGGCTCAGCAGGTAAAGGCACTTGCTGCCCAGTCTGATGACTTGAGTTCCATCCTTGGAACCCATGTAAAAGGAGGAGCAAATTAACATCACAAAGTTGTCCTCTGACCCTCGCACATACATCATACACATACAAATACAGTAATAATAAATAAAATAAAGATTAAGAGAAATTGCAAACTCATGGGGATTACCAAAGGATCCTTACCCCTTCTTAAATTGTTTTTCTTGAGATATAAGTCACAGACCACTCAATTAAGCCATCTAAACTATGTAGTCTAGTACAGTCTAGTCACTACAACTGTCACTATAATCAATTTTAGGACAATTTCATCACTAGGAAGAGAAAGTCCACACCTTTAGGCCATCACCACCCCATCCACTAGGATACCCCCAAACCGGTGGCCCTAGCCCTGGGCAAACACAGTTCACCACCCCATTCAGTAGGACCCCCCACACCCCTGGCCCTAGCCCTGGGCATACACAATTTACTTTTGCTTTATAGATTTGCCAATTCTGGACATTTTATGTCCATAGAGCCTACTGCCCCTTTTGTGGTGGCTAGGGAAATGGTGTGGGATGGGTACAGTCAGGCAGGACCATGTGTGGTCTAGCTCCTCCTGTCTCCACACAGGTGGAGGAGAACCGCCAGTACCGCATGCACAGCCTGCAGCACAAGGCTGCCAGTTCCATCTACATCAATTCTCGTAGTGTTTTCCTGCGGACGGAGCAGCCTGAGGGCCGCTATGTCATCATCCCCACCACCTTCGAGCCAGGCCACACTGGCGAGTTCCTGCTCCGAGTCTTCACAGATGTGCCCTCCAACTGCCGGTGCGTGGGGGCTACATGGGGCCAAACTGGTGACAGTGTGTTTCATGCTGGGCCTAGTGGGGTCTGTTGTCCCAGCCATTCAAGGTATGAAACCCAGGCACCAATGTCCCCAGGGATGGGTACAGAGGCCCATCCCTTGCTTCTCTCCTCCCCTGCTAAACTGCTCAGCCTCTCTTAGGCCTGACTAGGAACAGCAAGTCCTATGTGAACCTCACTTCACAGTTTACAAAGAAACTTTCACTCATTTTATTTATCTTCCCACGCCCCTCAATGGGAGGCCTGACCACTCCATTTTATAGATGAAAATAGGGACCAATTTTAGAAAGATGGTCCCAGGCCATGAAGTCAGTGGTAGTACGGGATAGGCCACTTACCAACCTGATTCCAGGGTGGGGTCTTGTGACTGCTAAAACCATCTCATGCCTGCTGGGTGCAGCCCAGATTCATCCCCAGGACACCTAGGAAGCAGCTTATGCTGTGTAGAATCAGCTGCTCCAGGTCCATTGCATTCTAGCTGGAGAGACTGAGACCTTGGATGCTTTCCAATCTGTAAAGCACCTGTCTATCTCAGTGCTTTTTGACGATGAGAAATAATATCTGTAATGCCCAGCAGAGGGCATAGCATGCAGGGAATGCTAAGCGCATTGCATTGGCCTAGGAAGGATGGAACCTTGGGTGAGGGACAGAGAGCCTGGAAGCCCATGGCATTGCATGGTTAGGAGTTAAATGAGGTTTGGCTTAGAATTTAATGAATGTCTACACTAAATGTTGTTCCTTACATTGAACCCCTTCTTCACCTCTATGTTCCTGGCACCCCTCTGTCCCCCATCCCACCCTCTATCAGGGAGCTGCGCCTGGATGAGCCCCCTCGAACCTGTTGGAGCTCCCTGTGTGGCTACCCCCAGCAGGTGACCCAGGTCCATGTTCTAGGGGCTGCTGGCCTCAAGGACTCCTCCACAGGTGAGCTCACTTGGAGAAAGCCCCTGGTCCTCCTTGAAGTTATCCAGGCCCTGTCTCCTCCAGCATAGACCCCAGCCTATAGAGACCTCTGCCCCTACACAGCTCAGTCTGCAAGTCCAACAATCCCTGGAGTGATGCAGGCATCTAGAGAAGTCCACCTCCTGCTTGCCCAGAGTTCCCATGTGGTGGGGATGTTGGATAGCTGCTGGGGGGCCCAAGGAAGGCTTTCTGGGGAGGAGGCCTTTCTCCCAAGCCAAGGAAGTGTTGAGGTATGAAGCCTGTGTACAGGGAATAGTGGGCAAGGGCTGCAGGCCAGAGACCCCCGTGTATCGCTATCTCTGCCTGGCTCTGGAAGATGGGGGACCATGTCCAGAAGGTGGGTCAGGCTCCTGTCTCCCTTCCCCTGTGTGACTGAAACCAGGTTGGCATCTCATCTCCTAGACACCTGTCTCATCTGGCCACTGCTCCAGCCCTGTCCTTCTTCCTCTCTTCAGGGGCTAACTCATATGTGATCATGAAATGTGAGGGGGAAAAGGTTTGCTCAACCGTGCAGAAAGGGACCTCGTCGCCAGAATACAATGTGAAAGGCATCTTCTACCAAAAGAAGCCGGGCCAGCCCATCACTGTGCAGGTTAGCCCCACTCAGACCCTCCTGCACCTCCCCAAGCCTCACTCTCTGAGGGGCAGAGTCTAGGGCAAAAGAGCCTTTAACAGGGATCTGGGGTACTAACCAGTTCTCTCGTCCCCCTTCTTCCTTCTCCAGGGTTCCTCTCTGTAGGTGGGTGACTGGGATTAGTCAGTGTGAGTCTGAGACCCAGCAGGGTTGGCCTCCCAGCTGTGGACAGTGGTTGTCTCTGCTGACCTGGCCCAAAGCCTTGGTGACTATTCCTCAGAGCCCCCATTGGTGGATCCACCCAGGAAAGTGGCACTGAGATAGTGTGTGGGGTGGGGCTGTTTCCTAAGAACCCTGATCTGAATGCTGGCATTCTTGGGTACAGTTCCCTTCTCTCAGGCCAAGGTAGCTGGAGTGCAGTGACTTGGAGCTCATTAGCAAGAAGCTGTTTGTCCCCCAGGCCCAGAGCAACTTCTCTCTGGGTGAGAAACCATCTGTAAACAAATGCGTAGCACCCCGGGGGAGCTACTAGATTTTCCAAGTTTTCTTAACACTGGGTCCCACTGGGTCAAATCACAGACTTGTAGATACTAGCGCTGGAAGGACCCTTAGGAGCAGGTGATTCAACCCTCATATGTTAAAAGATGGAGTGCTGGGTGTGGTGGTGCATGCCTTCAATCCCAGTACTGGGGAGGCAGAGGCAAATGCTTCTCTGTGAGTTCAAGGTTAGCCTGGTCTACATCATGAGCTCCAGCCAGCCAGAGTTATGTGATAAGATCATGTTTTAAAAAAAAAAAGTGAGGGAGGGAACTAGTTCACTCATGGTCAGTACCATGACCGATTGAGCTTCTAAGTGGTAGAACACTTTGATGGGGAGCCCAAGGCTCTAGAAGATGGACATTCCACCAGGCCCACAGAAGCAGACCTGTCCTTGGCTCGGCTTGTATTGACTTCCATCCAGGCCCTGCTGCCCTGCTCCCTACTACCTGCCTTCGACAATGTTTTGAGTCTTGAAGTTGCTTCTCCCTCACCTTCTGTCTCCTCTCAGATCTGGAACCACCGAGTCCTGAAGGATGAATTCCTGGGTCAGGTGCACCTGAAGACTGATCCAAATAACCTCCAGGCCCTTCATACCCTCCACCTCCGAGACCGCAGTAGCCGGCAGCCCAGTGACTTGCCAGGCACTATAGCAGTGCGTGTTCTCAGCAGTGCCTCCCTCATGGCTGTCTGACACAGGCCCACTTTCCTGGACCTACCCGTTCTCGCCACCACCTGCATGTCCCCACCTGGCCTGGGACCAGCCTGGGAACCAGACACTGGGGTCCTTTCCCAACTCTTCCAGTGACTTGATGTGTGACCTGAGGAGAGCTCTGGTCCTCTGTGAGCCTCAGTGTTCTGAGGGACCCAAAGCATTCCTTTCTTGTGGGGGAGTCTTCTTGCTTGAGATTGATTATAGCCCTTTCCACCCAGTGGGCACTGCTGCTAAGGGAAAACCTTTGAAAACCTTTTTCCAGGCCCTGCTGTCTGCCAAGGAGTGCCAAGATGTCACTAGTTTACACACAAACTGCCATGTCCCAAGCCCCCTTCTCGCCCCTTGTTTCCTAGCCCTTCCTCACAGTCTCCCAGGTCTTTGCTATGTAGCCGAGGATGACCTTGAATTCACCCTTCTGCCTCTACTTCTCCAGTGCTGAGGTTAGAGGCATGTGCTACCATACCTAGTTTATGTGGTACTCAGGATGAACCTAGGGCTTTGTGCATGCTAGGCAAGCACTCTACCAACTGACCTACAGCCCCAGCCTGGTTTTTGAGCCACCTTGAAAGAACTCTTGGTGGGCATCTGCTGGGAAGTATGCAAGAGACATTTGCTCATTGTCTAATGCTGTCCCCCCCCCCATCCATTAGTCACTCAATATAGAGTTATCCAATTAGGGCATGAGCCTCGCCCCCCTCCACTTCTGCTGCAGGCCTCCCCTATCCTCAGGTCTTCTCAAAGGCAGATACCTTGCTGAGCAGTAGGCTCTGACTTCACTCCCATCCCCCAAAGAGCTGTGGCCACAGTGGTGAGAAAAAGGCATTTTCCTACCTCCACTCCTGATGTTGGAAGGAGTGGGCCAGGTGGAGTGCTAGAGGGGAACCAAAGGGGCTACACAGTCCTCTGTTGGAATTTTCCTGGCACAAGGGACTCTGGTGGTGCCAGGCCCACAGGGTCAGGTCATCTATTGGGTGTTGCAGGAGATAAGGACTTACCTCACCTGACCAGAGGCCCTTCCGCTGACATCCCCCAAATGGCCAAGGAGGTCACAGTGCTTTTCCTGCTTCCTGGATCAAAATGTTCCTTTTGGTCCTCAACATTTGATAGCCTTTCTATTTTAAAATTTTCAGTGTAAAGGAAAACCTGATACCCTCACCCACCTTGTTCTTCTCGAACTCATTTTGTTGGAACTCGAGTTTTATTTTTACTTTAATCTGGGATGGAAATGGATAAAGTAGGAACTTCTTAGAGGAGGCCTGGCAAGGAAGGCACAGGGTAACCAAGACCAAGTGGCAGACCCCTGTAAGTGTCACCTGGCAACCAGGAACTGCCACCTACCCTCCAGCAGAACCAGGCCAGCAGCCCTGCCCTTGCTTCCTCCCTCCAAAGTTAGGCCAGGCTGGCTCCTGGCTATGAAAGTACTTCTGGTCCCCAGGAATCCTTGGATTGAGCAGGTGAGGATAAAGGGTGGAACAGGAGTACAGTGACTCTGTTCATTCTTTGCGCCCGGGGTCTGCATGATATGGCTGGTTGCAGACTGCATTCTTGAGGGACTTCAGCACTGGTGCTGTGGCTCACAGGGTCCACTCTGCCTCTCTCGGGCTTCCAGACCAGGCTTAGTATATGAAAAAGTGCAGTTGGGTCAAGGGTGGCGATTTATTTTGGGAACATGGCTTTCTGACTCCAGGCCCTGTTGTGCAGTCTTCTTCATGGCTGGAGGTGCTGAATTCTGACTGCCACCTTGCTCCATGGGGGCTCTGTCCTGGCCAAAGGACCCGGCACTGAAAGATAAGAGGAGTCCTCCAAAGTCGGGGCTTCCCCTCAAGGACTCAAACATGGGGCTGGGACTGCATGCCACAGGGGCAAGTCACTTACCTCCTGCGTGTGCCTGGACTCCCCCCTTTTCAAAGTAGGACTGCTGACTCCTATTTGTCAGGGCTTTTCCTAACAAGTGCTGAATTCCTCCGTGTGTCTCTGTATTGTGCCCTAACACGTTCACATAGTCACTTTTCAAAGGCTGCTTCAAATGAAAAATATGATCAAGGGGGGAAGAGAGAGTGCCTGTTACACCAGCTTGGGCCTCAGTCCCTGATGTGTTTATCTTAGCTCAGCCATGCACCACCAGGGGCACAGGGCAAACCAGGACCAAGTAGCAGGCTGGTGTAAGCTGCACCCAAGTGACCAAACTCTGCCTCCCATCTGCAGAAGAAGCGGGCCAGTATCCCTGCTCTTGCTTCCTCCCTTTCAAGCTAGGCCAGACTGGCTCCTAGCTATGCAGGGATCTCTGGTCCCAGGAAGCCTTGGGACCATGCAGGTGTGGATAGAGGGTAGAGGAGAGAGGGCAGTGGCTTTACCCCAGTGGTCTTGTGGTGTGCCCTGTTGCAGTCCAGTCTACCTGAATCACCTAGACCTGGATTCACTCTTGGGTCATCGTGCCCTGGGGTCAAGGGAGAGGAGGCCTGTTCTCTCTCAATAAATATTACTGCCATTCCAGAAAGACTTTCCTGTGCCTGTGTGTGTCTGTTCATCTCTCCTATCCAGGGCAGGAAAGGACAATGGATGGCTATCCTGTGGAGAGGGAGATGAGCAATGGATGACAGGAGTCACAGTTGAGGCTGGCCCTGATGGCTGCTCAGTGTGTCTGAGCCCAGTTCAGTGGAATCCTTTCATCTTCCTATTGCAAATTTATGTAGGGGCTGGCTTTGCTGAGCACTGCCCACCCCAAGCCCTGGGGACACAGAAGCACAGTCCCCACTCTGAATGATCTTTGAACAACTAGGAAATACATACAAATCCTCTGATCTATAACTCTGATGCTATAGTTATTGATAGGGTATCATGGGATTTCCTGGGGCTCTTTCAGTCTGCTAGCCCAAGGCAGGCCTATAGCCTGATCCAGTGGAGTGAAGGCAACTCCATGCAGGCCACAGACAGAGGAGATGGGACAGTACAGGTAGCCTGAGCTAGGAAATCAGGGGAGGGAGCAGTGGGCAAAGGCTGGGTCAGGATTTTGAAAGCAAAATGGATGGAATGAGATGACAGATTAGAACTGGGGAAGGTGGAGGTGGGGTGACGGTGAGGGCAGATCGAATGGCCATCCATTCTGCTGTGGTTTGGATGCAGTGTCCTGCAAAAGCCCAGAGGCTGGAAGGCTATTCCCCTTCTAGATGGCACTGGAAGCCAGTAGAACTGGAGAGGTAGGGTGGAGTGCGAGGGTATGAGGAGGGATAAATGCCTTCTCCAGAGACTAGATTACCATGGCAGTAGCGAGGACCTGTCAGCCACCAAGACAGTGAGCCAAGATAAGCATCTTTCTTACAGAAAGCTTAGTCTCAGGTGTTTTGTTTTTGAAAAACAAAATGGAATAAAATATTTTCCTAGATTTCTTAGAGGTGTATCAGGTGACCTGCTTAGCAGAGTGCCAGGACATGGATGGTGTGGAGCAGGTGTGGCACTTACCATGGGTTCTGAGACCACCCACTGTCTTCCCACCATGCTCTTCTGCCCAATGGAGCACACCTGCCCCAGCTGCTACCCTTGTCCCTTGGACTCTGGGTGCTCCAACCTGGGGCTTTCCCCATCTGTGTAAGTCTGGAAAAGGAGATGGTTTGAGGTACTGTAGGTAGTAAGCATCAATCCCAGGTGTAAGTCCAGGGGTGAGGGCTGTGTTCGGGGCAATTCCAGCCGGGATCCCTGGGTTACAGTTTGCGTTGACATTCTGGGGTCTGAGGAAGTTGGCCAGCGGAGGCTGCATCCTGCTTGCTCTTCCTGCTGTTCACCTAGCAGCTGGCTGCAGTATATGCCCAGCAGATGGAGCTATTGAGCTGTTGGTCCTCCTGGTAGTCCCTCCCCACACCCCCACCTATCCCATCTCCTAGTCCATTTGCAGCTCTGCAGACACCCTGCTGGCCAAGAGTGGACAGGAGAAGGTCCAGGTCTCAAGACCTCCAGGCTATGGTCCCTGCCAATGCTAACAATTTTGTGTCCCTGTGTATTCCCACCCTCTTTAAAAAAATCACACATTTTACATTGGGTTGTAAGTGTCCCTGTTCCATGTGGGGTTGATCCTGTCAGCTGGCTTAGCAAAGTGTCTGGATGGGCAGAAAATAACAGACACAGAAACCCCAGAACAAGTTGTGGGGCAGGGTTGAGGGAACCTCACAGGAACTCTTGGGGAGCCCTGGGAAGTGGTTTGGATGTGATGTCCCCCACAGGTTCAGATGCTGGAAGCTTGGGGTGGGGGCATGTGTGCAGGGATGGGAGAATATACCACCTTCAGCTGAGCCTGCCCACCCAAGCTCTATGGGGTGTCAAGCAGTGTTCCAAGGAGAGGAGCCAGGAGGAGGCCACTGGGGACTGAGGCCCAGCAAAACCATGACCAAGACAGGCCACATCAGGCTTCTTGCCCATGCAGAGACAGCAGGTAGTGGCACCCATGACAAGGGGCCCCTGGGGCCAGGCCCCACACTAGCCAGCAGTGTCATGGGAGACCTCCATACCCTTCCTCCCTGCTGGCCCCCTAGTGCTACACACAGCCCTGGGCAACCACTGAACATTAACCCCAATCCAAGCACAGCCTGCCGCCCCCATGCTGATGTCACCATATCTAGACCTTGGAGGCCCCCTCAGGCTCCGCCTCCTGGGAGAAGGCTCTGGAGTGAGAGGGGAGGGTGGCAGTGCTGGCTGGACAGCTGCCCTGAACAGAAAGAAAGGGAGTGAGCCAGGGAGACAGTGAGAAACAGAAAGGCCCAGAAGGACCCCAGAGCAACCTCGGAGCAGGACACTGGCTGGGGCAGCATGTCTGCAGGCTCTGACTGCAGCTTCTAGAATCATCCTGACAGCTGACACTGGGCTGTGAAGTCGTGACTGAAAGGTATTGTGAAGACCCTGGTAAGGATGGCCTGCCCTGTTGGGGACTTTTGGACTGGGGAGGAGTCACAGGCTCAGGCCTCCACTGGAGCCCCTGCCTCATAGCCTCCCGCTCTTGGGACTGGTTCTTTGAACCCACAGGGGCCACATCATCATAGCCACTAAAATAAAATGTCCTGAGCCTGGGTTGATAGAGGCTTGGGTCCTGGAGAAGGGAAAAGCTAAGGAGCATAGCGCCTGGAGCTGGGGTTGGGGCATCCAGGGCCAGGGGAGCAAATGAGAGAGTGGGGAAGGAAGAGGGGAGGGAGGGAAGGAGAACGAACTCTGTCCCTCTGTCCTCTGTCTCTTGGTCTTTTTTTTTTTTTTTTTTGGTCTCTAATCTTTTTCTCCTTTGGTAAGTCATTTCCCATCTGTAACTAGGGAGTATAAAGGCCACCAGCCAGGGTAGCCACAGAGACAAGGTAAAATCAGGCAAGGGCCTAGAAATGAAAATTGTCCCATGTTCTCAATTTGAAAAGCAACAGTCTTACACACAATCTAGTTCTTGGGTTTAGAATGTTCTGAACCTGGAGAGATGGTGGCTTGTCACTGGTGAAAGGAAGAGTTGTGTGGTTTCCCCTAATGCTGGGCCTTCAGCGCTACCCCCACCACCCTCCAAGGCCCTGGAGCTCTCCTGGCAGCCTCATGCTAGTATGAATGGTACAAGTGCTGGGCATCCTCTTCAGATGCCAGCTCCCCTGGCTGCTGCCTGCTGCCCTTGTTTCGGTCACTCCCTTGCCAGGTACCCGAGCTGGTGTGGATCTTTGGAAGGACTATGTGCCCACAGAGACCCAAGGCCTGGGAGGGTCAGGGCTCAGGTGTCAGGCAGTGTCGTGGGCAGAAGATCAGATGTCCCAGGGCCTCTGAATGGGTTCTTGTGAAAAATTGATGCTCACCCTTGGGGGCAGGCTGGGGACCAAGGGGCCTCATGCCAGAGCTTGTGGGCCAGGACGGCTTATGGTAGCCACACTCTGGGCCTAGGTTTGTGTTGGACAAGGTGAAAGATGAGATGATATCTTAGGCCTGTCAGGGCCTGCCCTGGATCAACTCCTCAACATTAGGGGCTGAGATGGAGACAGGCCCCAAGCAGATACCACCATGCACACAGAGCTGGGGTGAGGAGAAACACAGAGGTTCTTGGCAGCGTGGCATGGTCAGGGAAGGCTTCCTGGAAGAGGTACCATCAGAATTGAGCCATGGACCGTAGACAAGACTTTCCCAGTGAGAACTCCAAGTGGGCGTGCCAGAGAAAGGCAATGCCAGGAACTGAAGAGAGCTCGACCATTTTAAGGATCTGCAAGTGGCAGACAGTGGCCAAGCACAAGGTAGGGAGAGAAAAAGCTTAGTCCTTGATGGAGGCCAGTTGTGCTGGGGCTCAGGATCCAGGCCAAGAGGGGCTTATGTCCTCCAATCTGAGGGCCATGGTCAGGTTATCCCAGACCAGGCTGCCATGTGACCCACAATTCCTGGAGCAACTCTGAGCTACGAGGCCAAAACTGCAGTCCTAGTCCTAAATCTTCCCTGCCCTGCTGTGTGACCTTGGGCAAGCACTGGTCCCTCTCTGGGCTCCTTTGCCCATATGTCTGGTGTGGGACTAAATGTGGTACTTTCTTTTTTTTAAAATTTAAAAAATATATATTTTATTTATTATTTTTATTTTATGTGTATGAGTGTATTGCCTGCACGTATGTGAGTGCACCTGTGTCGTGCAGTGCTGCGGAGGTCAGAAGAGGGCTTCGGATTCCCCTGGAACTAGAGTTAAGGACGGTTCATAGCTGCCATGCGGGTGCTGGGAATCGAACCTGGGTCCTTTGCAAGAGCAGTTAGTGCTCTTAACTGCTGAGCCATCTCTCTAGCCCCTAAATGTGCTACTTTCTAGGAGTCCTATGGGAGTCTGGATGACAGAGGCTGAGAAGGAACAGCAGCTCTGGGCAGTGGCAGTGGTGATAGCAACGAGGCTTGGGTCACATAAGCTGAGCTGGGGTTAGAGGTGCAGAAACCAAGGAAGGTGTCAATGAGGAAAGAGGGGCTGGGGCCTGGGGAGAAGCCTGGGTGGCTCTATAGGCTCAAGGCTGACTGCTCAGGAGTCCATGGTGTGGTCTCTCCCCACAGAACTGTGTCTGGTCACTGGGCAGCAGGTATCCTGACGTAGGACCATGGTTATTCTTCGGCAGGTGAGTAGCCCCATCTTTTTACCCTCAGAGCCAGGGAGGACTGTGTTGGGTGGCTCATCCCTCACCTGCCATGCTCTCTGAATGTACTTAACCATGGGCAACCATCGCCTGTACTTTTTCTTGGAAAACTCCTACTTCAAAGCCCAGCTGTGAAGTGTTCCTCTCACAGGCCCAGTGCAGAGCCTGCTCCCTCTCACATGCCCACGATGGCTTTCTTCTCTTATGCCCCTCTGGACAGGAATATGGTCTACCCATCTCTCTGAGTCCTAGGCATTCCAGGTAGTGGAACAGCACATTTGAAGGTCCAAATGCGAGATGAGAAGGTCTCTGGGGAAGCAGCTGGCCTAGGGCAGCAGTGAATGGAGAGGTGACCGGCCCAAGCTAGAGGTCCCTGGGGCAGAAACAGAGGTGCTGCCCC